GGAATAAAGCTAACTCAAAACTACAACGAGGGGGCTGGTGAGATGGCTCAGTGGTCTACAGCACCTACTTAGAACAAGCTAAGCTAAGCAAAGCACAGGGACTGCGGTTCAATCCTCCAGCACCACATGCCAGCCAGCCTCGCCCCCTGGTGGGCTGAGCTGGCCACACACAAAATAAATGAATAAATAAATAATAAAAATTTTTTTTTTAAAAACTACAACGAGGCACTCCTGTAATCCCAGCACTTAGGAGACAAAGGCAGGAGAATGTTGAGTTGGAGGCCCCACTGGGCTCCACAGCAAGCTCAAGTTCAGCCTGGGCTACGTGGCAAGATCCTGTCGGGAAAGAAAAGCCAAGAAATGAATGTGAAGTGAAAAGACAAGGATCATGGTGTTCATAAGCTCATAGACTACTTATTAAAGATGAAAAGCATCCTAGAAATAAGTCCACAATAAAGCCCTTTGGGCTCATCCTGGACTCCCCCAGGGTTCCTTGCACAGAAGAACGCCTCCTTATACACTCACTTTGTGAATAAAGGTGGAGGAGAGTCTCCGCCTTGTAATTCATCCAAGAGAGAGACCTGATCTATTAATTGTACACCTGATCTATTGAGTACAGATGTGTCACCTGGGTTGCCCATCTCCCAGCCTGTGAAGTATTCATGGTGACTAAAGGACTTTCCAAAGAGTAGTCTGCTCAGATACTTCATGCTCATCCTGTCCCTCTGTCTCCCTGTATACCCGGACCTGTGCGTTGCTCACTTCCTGCTGAACGGTTCTTTCTAACTTTGTCTCTACAACACATGTATTAGGTTCACTCCAAAAAGGGCTATTGTCATTTTTAAAGATGTGCATCACTTTGGTTGGAACAGAAATATATCAAGATTTGATTTGAATACAATTTCTCTTAATTCCTTTGGTAATCCTAGATCACAGATAATCTTTTCATGAATACCATGGTAAGTGATCATGAAGTTCCACCCAAAGATGTCTCTTATTGCAGTGCCCCCGGTTCTACTCAGAGGTACTTATTTTCCTAGAGCAGAAAACGTGAAATTCCATCTCCTTTCCTGAAATGTGGGAACAGGGCTGAGCCTCACCACGTGTGTTGGTGCACACCTGGGAGTCCCAAGCACCTGGGCAGAGGCAGGAGGATCCGAGTTAGAGGCCAGCCTGTGCTATGCAGGGAGAGCCCACCTCAAAACAAAGGCCACTGGATTTAGTATACAAAATATGATATTTTTAAAACTATGATTTGCCTTTAAGATATCAACTGAGGGGGCCAAGGAGATGGCTCAGTAGAATATACACTTGCCTGGTAAGCGCAAGGGCCTGAGTTCAGTCCCTGGTTCTAAAAAAAAAAAAAAAAAAAAACCTGACTCAAAAGAGATGTTGGGAGTAGGGGAGAACCTGCCAGCACTCTGTATGTAGGACCAACTAGAATGCATACAGATTTTTTTT